TCAGGTCTCAAGGTTTCATGTTTGGTTTTGCTTAGCTTTTCCCAGTTTAGGTTACTCTTAAGTTTTGGTTTTCGTTCACCTCGTCCCTGTTTGTTTCACCCTTTTGTTAATAAAGCTCGCTCACAACTTAAGCAGTCTGCATCTTGGGTCCGTTAATAATTCACACACGGCTTGCCCTGGCAACCCGTGACAATCGGATTCATATCGGTATCGGCCGATATCCAAATTTATGATATTGGTATCAGACATAAAAAGTGGTATCGTGCCATCTCTACTCATAAGCAGAGAGCGCTTGCTAGCTCTGTCCTTAGACAGTAAACGTGACAAAACTATTCAGGAAAAAACGCCACGTATATATTGTTTATCATGACTCTGGTTTTACTGGCCTATCAACACAATTTAAAAACTGGTATATATCACCTTGTTGCTTTGTCATCTTGAAGTGGTCATGTGACTGGCTTACCACAACTACTTTATTCTTCCTCAGTCAAACAGCTGCACTCATGTGATTGAGCCCCTTAGCTCCAGGTGTTGTGCCAAAAAGTGATTGTCTGCTGAACACAGCTTCGACCGCCTGTTTGTGGAAAAATAGTAACGCACTGCACCGCACTTTTCTGTTAGTAATGGTAACGGCATGGTAACGATAGAAATAGTAACTAGTTTACTCGTTACTGAAAAAATGTAACGGTGTTAGTAACGTTATTCCTATCACTAGAAATAACGTAGACGATCCAGTAACGAACACAAGAGAACACACACTGTAAATGCACAGAGGGGAACGAGGAAACTACACACATAAGGGAGGCACAATTGACTGTAATTGACAAGACGAGACAAGCAAGTAACCAATGCCATGTATGTTACTCCACCTCCATACAATCAAAGATAGTGTTTTTTTAAAACATAGGTCATAAAAAGCCAGATGGTAACACTCTCACTGGACACTTTATTAGGTACACTTTGATAGTACCAAGTAAGACGTCAGTGCTGTTTGTTTTAAATCTTTGCTGTTAATTTTTGATTGTAATGTTGTGATGTTATTTGAGTTACTGTTTCCTTCCTATCAGCTTGAAGGAGTCTGGCCAGTAAACAAAATTTTAAATTCTTTGTGGAATCCATGGACACTTGGACAACATCGTGTTTTAACTGATTCACAAACCATTGTATTCTGCTTTCATTTACATTGTACACAATATCGAAACTGTTTTAGAAACTCGACTGTAGCATATTTCTGTTCTAACACAGTGTCATAGTCAGACATAACAACAAAAAACAAAAACATATACAGAGAAATATTAATTTTATGTGTTTTTATTTACATAACAGAAAGGACTCTATGAATCAGTACAACTGAAAACTGCTGTGAAATCAACATTTTTTTTATGTACATTGATTAGAGTTTTTGAATGAAGGTTGTGATTCGTTTTTGATTTACTGCCCAGGCCTATGTGGTACACTCCAATTGTTCATGATAAGTAGTCTATCTTATAGCATAAATTGACAGATTTGTTTGATTTCTTCTCTTCTTTCAGAGCTCTACAAACCCAAACCTAAATGGTCTTGAGAAGACTTTCAGGATAGATGTTTTCCTGCTGTTTTTCCTGAGAGACAACTGTAAAGCATACAAAATTTTTGAAAAACAACTGTTGTCAATCGGCTGCACAGTGGAGCTAAATTTTGATGAAGAGGAGGTTTTGGTTAGAGGCGAGGTTGACAAGGGGCCAGGAGGAGGATTTGGTGGTTCTGCAGAGAAATGGGAGTATCAGGTGAATCAGGTCTTCATTCGGCTCACCGAGACCTACAACTGCTATCATGTGCTTGAGCCAAAACAGATGAAAATGGTACTGCAGGACCGGTCCTTTAAGACAGATGATATCAAAGTTTACACAGAGAGTGGCTATGCTGTGGTTGTGGGAGAGGTTGATGTCATGAAGGAGAAGATTGCAATTCTGGAAAAAAGCCTACCCACCAAAAAGGAAGTGCCGATTGTGGAGAAGAAGTTCAAGCTCATAGAAGAAGAGTTCAATCGAGAAATGCGTGCTAATTGTCCAGAAGTTACAATCATCAGAGGTAGTGCCATGATCACTTTGGAGGGCCCTGACAAAGAGGTGCAGTCAGGAGCTACAAAACTGGATGAACTGATTAAGAACATAAAGGAGAAGAGCGTATATTTCCCTACAGCTCTGCTAACCTTCATGAAGACCAGTGATGCCATCCCAAAATACCAAACTCGCTTCCAGCAGAGCCTCAGAAACCCTGTTTTCTTTGAGGTGGGTTCAGATCTGGTTCTGTCCAGTTTGTCCTCTGATGCTCTGAATGAGGCTGAGGCAGCAGTAATGAGAGACTTTGAAGTGACCACTGTGCAGCTGCAGGGTGCAATAGATCTTAACAGGTTGAAAGAAATTCTGACGAAAGCCAAGAACGAGGCAAACAGTAGAGAGTTCAGAGTGGACATCAGCTACATGCC